TTCCACTCCCCCCTCCCTCCCCCCTCACTTCCCAGTGCCAATCACAGGGTTAACAATAAAATAATCATACTCTAACTAACATTAATCAACTATTAAAATAACATATCTATAAGATTTGTGAGCTCTTTCACGCCCCCTTCTGCAAACGTCTCCTTCAACTGTAACGGTAATCCCTAGTTAAGTCTGCGGGGGGGGGGGGCGCAACTTGACAACCAGTTGTGTAGCTGCTCTCTGTATTCCAGGAATTGATGGGAGGGCAGCTTTCCTAGAAATTCCCAGGATTTTGAAAAGATACTGCAAAAGATGTGGGAGAAGGCTTCTGTTTTGCATCCAGTCAGTTGGGGAGGGGGGGCGTTTGTTTACCCTGCGGTTCCCGACTCTTTGATTTCCCTGCAAGAGAGAGGAAGGGAGACAGAAAATCCAGGGGACATCTACACACCCCAAAATTACCACCCCAGTTAAACACTGTCATTTGTGAGTGGCAGAAGGCGACTGCTTGGAACTGAAGACGGGGGGGGGGGACCTTTGCAAGGGATCAAATCCAGCCAGATCTTGGAGAGGTTAGGTTTCAAAGACTGAAATGGCTGGCTGCTGTGATGCTGGGACCGAATCTGACTTTTCCAAAACAGCCCGCTGTGTTTTGTGGCAAATGCCATCCATTTGTCTGGGCGGGAATAGAGAGTTGGAAGGGACCTTAGAGGTCTTCTAGTCCAACCCCCTGCTGGAGCAAGAGACCCTATAGCATTCTGGATAAAAGTCTGTCCAATCTCTTCTTGAAAACCTGCAGGGATGGGGCACCTGGCAGCCTTGCTTTATTGCGTAATTTCCCTTTGTAAAGCAAATCTATAAACACACAAACTGCATGCACACACACAGACACACGCAGAGAGAGAGAGAGACAGACAGACAGACAGAGACAGAGAGAGACAGAGAGAGCGACAGAGCAACAGAGAGAGAGAGACAGAGAGACATAAAGACAGAGAGAGAGAGAGAGACACAGAGAGAGAGACAGAGACAGACAGAGACAGAGAGAGAGACAGACAGACAGAGAGAGAGACAGAGAAAGAGAGAGAGAGACAGAGAGACATAGAGAGACACACACAGAGAGAGAGACAGACAGACAGACAGACAGACAGAGAGAGAGAGAGAGAAAGAGAGAGAGACAGACAGACACAAAGACAGACAGAGACAGAGAGAAAGAGAAAGAGAGACAGACAGAGAGAGAGAGAGAGAAAGAGAGAGAGACAGACAGACACAAAGACAGACAGAGACAGAGAGACAGACAGAGAGAGAGAGCAACAGAGAGACAGAGATAAAGACAGACACACACACAGACAGAGAGAGAGAGAGAAAGAGAGAGACACACACAGAGAGACAGAGAGAGCAACAGAGCAGCAGAGAGAGAGATAAAGACAGAGAGAGACACACACGGATACACAGAGAGACAGAGAGGAATATGGAGGAAGGTTGCTGTCATCTCTTCTCAAAAGTACCTGAGGGCAGGACAAGAAGTAACAGATGGAAACTTATCAAAGAGAGATCCAATCTTGAATTAAGGAGAAATTTCCTGACAATGAGAACAATAAAAACAGTGGAGTGGCTTTCCTTTAGAAATTGTGGGTGCTCCATCACCGGAGGTTTTCAAGAAGAGACTGGACAGCCATTTGTCTGGAATGGTCTAGGGTCTCCTGCTTGAGCAGAGGGTTGGACTAGAAGACCTCCAAGATCCCTTCCAACTCTGTTATTCTGTTATGTGGAGGAAGAGAAGGAGGAAGAGGAGGAGGAGGAGAAGAAACAGAAGGAGAATGAGAAAAAAGAAAAGACAAAGAAAGAGAAGGGTCTCCTGCTTGAGCAGGAGGTTGGACTAGAAGACCTCCAAGGTCCCTTCCCTGTTATTCTGCATTCTGGAAATGTTGCATATATGTGTGCGTTTGTGTCTGTATTGTGCATACGTGCATTGCTAGGCATAACGGTCGAAGATCCAAAAGTTACAACAAAGACGCTTTTCTTTATTCTTTTTAAAATGTGTTTTTTTTTTCCTTTTTGTTTTGTTTTTAAGCATCCCAAGAGAAACCTCTGCCCATCTGAGACAGCTTCTTTTAGGGCTGTTGCAACGAAATTACAAAGACCGCATGGATTTTGGTAAGAAGCGTTTGGACCTCGTTTAAATCCAAAAGGAGAAACCTGGACAGCCAGTTAGTTTTGTGTTTCTTAACCTCTCTTTCTTTTCCTTTCAAAAACAAACTGAAATCACATCGTAAATCCAATTTATGATTGAGAATGAGTGTTTATTGTTGGTTTTTTTAAAAAAAAAAATCTGTGTTTTTTTTTTTCAATTTAATATTGAAACGTAACCTGCAGCATTCTCCAGATTTGACCACCACTGAAATTTCATTCAACCTCAAGTGTTTTTATTCTCGATTTATTTATTTTTTTAGATGAATTTTTCCACCACCCTTTCCTGGATTCTAGCGCTTCTATGAAAAAATGTAAGTTTCTTTCCTGTTTTTTCCCTTCTGGGTTGATACGTAACTGCACGGCACACAGGCATGTGCAGAGTGAATTCAGCGAGGGGAGCCTTAATACTTTTTCTTGGTTTCCCCTTTGAGATGGTTGCGTTTTAGGGTGTTAAGGGAAACGGCCTTTTCCAATCTGCTAACAGTTAGTTACTAGGGGAGATTTTATTCATTTATTGATTGATTGAATTTATTTGCTGCCCATCTCATAACAAAACAAATCCGGGCAGCTTACGGCATTAAAACATTACATTTTTGCTTTTTTATGGGTTGGCAAGGCTGGCTATTATTAGGACTAAATACTGCCTCTTGCATTTGAATGTTATAAGATTGTGGTGGCCGCACTGAACGACGAGGAATTGCCTTGGACCGCGTATAAAATATATCATGAAGTTAATGTATATAAATACAGGCA